TATTTTGAATTGGATCCAATGTTTAATGCATTACTTTAATCAGTATGTCCAAGACAAGATGCACATGGATCAACACAATGACACTATGAACTCAATTTAAACATCACCAATTTTGGACTTTGTCCTTTGAACTACCGGGTAATTATATAGATTTATGGATTTATACATGTGCTGTTGAATTCAACCAAACCAATATCACATATATTTATGTACAAAACAACTTACCGGTAATATAGAGGAATCATCAAATATTTTTAAATGTCATTAATGTTTAAATTATTTGATTTATTGGGAGTTTTGAGATCAAGTGGGTTCAACAAACTTAGAGGCACAAATAAGGATGTACATGTCAGTGTACATGTACACTGATCTGATATATTGATATATTTACCAATTAAAAAAAGATTCAATTATGAGCAAGAAGTGACTGCATGATATTGTTGTTGATAGTACACATTGAAACAATGAACTGAATATTGTAAAACCATTTATTCTCACTGGCATTTAATTTCACTATTGACGATTTGAGCAATTTCACTGGGTTTGAAGTTCACGAATTTGGCGGTGAAACAATGAGCTCTATTGTTATTCTACACGTTCACGTGGATTTAATTTAGGTAATTTTAATTATCAACAAAAATAGCGAAATTATAAACCAGTAAATAATTAATGCATTTACAGTATAGCAGGTAACCAGTAAGTTAGATCACATACATAGAATATACTTGACTGCATGGTGGTGAGTGATTGCTCCTGGTGGTTCGTACAGAAGTAATTTCTAGCATCTCAGCATCAACTGTACAGATGTAATGATATGGTGAGTGAATATATGAAGACAAACAACAAACATTTGATATGCAGACAAGAAACAAATATTTGACATAAAGAACTCATGCCAGTGTATTACTTACAAGTGTGGCCACTCTGGAAATAAGAAAATAGCCAAGTTACAGCACAAATAATGTGACAAATACACCTATCAGGATCACATCTCTACCTGGGCTGTACTATTATTATGTGGGGTAGGGTAGCTGCATTTTATGGATTGGCAAAAAGTCATTGAATTTTCAAGTTGGCTTGTTGATTGTTGAATTAAGTCATTTTGATGTGCATTTGAAAATGAAAAAGTACCGGTAAGTTATAACTGTATTCACGACACATGTAAGCATAATTGGTATATCATAATAAAGTGGACACTTTAAAGTACTCTATTATCTCTGATTAAAGGTATGATTATATGGGTATAAAATCCAGTAAAATGTAACAGAATATACTTGAGGTCATTGGCTGGACTTTAAATATTTCCAACAAGATATTGTATATGACATAATCATCTTTATCTTGATGAATAAACATAGTGTAACTATTACAACCTTGTCCACTGAACACCTTGACTAAATAATATATGGATGGATGGAAGGATGGATGGATACAAACTAATGATGTATAATTTTTTCTTTGCATAGCAAAATTAGCCCCGAAACAATTGTGATATATCTAAACGTTTTTTGCAAAAATATTGGCTACAATATAGATGTGAACAATTCTGACCAAAAACAAACAAGAACAATAAAGATATCATAAGTACATACAAAAATTAATATTCATACTCCTTGGATAATACTACATGTACTGTATTAATCTTGAGGTCCCTTATAGAATAATATACGGTAACCTGAATTGTAGTGTTTCCAAATAATAGTGCAATAAGATATATATATATAAGCAAAATAAAATACTAGCTGGATTAGAAAAAAGGTGGAAAATCTGCACTGTACTGTATTTTTCAAGTCATAATGAAAACAAAATATCAGTGTACTACACTTATCTACTGTAACTGACAGATCTTAGAGAGCATATTACAAACATCTGTTTTTTTATTAATAGCAGTATAAATTTTGTTCACTTATATTTCTATGTCTAACAAATGTTTGATTGAGCCAAATTTTACCCCATATATCTTGAAAATTGCACTTGAAATTTGTAGGTGATCAGGTGATCTTGAAAAATATATGTAGAACACACACTGAAATCAACTTGGCCAGGATCCCAAACTGGGTAGCATAATATCAAAATTTGAAAGAAATTTGATAACAAGCAGCCTGTCGGCTGAGATAGCTCCACTGTTAGCAATGCACATTTCAATTTAAGAAATGAAGATATCATTTGAAAATGAACAATATGTATAGTATTAAAGCAATCAGACTTTCTGTTTTTAACAATAATTTAAACTATTTTACAGTATATTGTCTTGCCTTGTTTGAAGTTTGACATTTGAAGTTCTAAAATGCATCCAGCGTCAACTTTGAAATGTTTGCATGTTCACATTTTGGTTTGGCATCTTTGCATTTTAGTCTTGTATGCTAAACATCACCTGTGGTACGTATCATTGTTTATTTGAGCATTTTGGGAATGTCACCAATGACAAAAATTCGAAGATGCGTCTCAAATATGAAGATGCAAAAGATCCAAATAAGCACTTAATGTTACCTATGAAAAGCTTGTATGCTTTGCATTTTTTCCATGTTTCACACATTTTAGCTCCAGACTAACATCAGGTTTTTTATCTTTCCTACATTGTATGTAAAAAAAAATTGAAATTAACATGCAGGACCGAAATATTAAACATTCAAATCTAAAACATTCTAAAATTAAACTTGGAAGAATGTTTACTTTGATAAATACGAGATACACCAGGTTTCATGAAGGTGTGAATTTGGTTTATATAAAATATTCATAAATGCTCACAAATTTCAAATTACGAATGAAAACAACTTGGCTATAAATCACAAGTCTTAGCAGATGAATACTGCTCGTACAAAACATTAGGCTCTTCTTTGACATTTAGCTCACTATAGTAATATAACATTTCAAGCCAATCAATATTGATACTACTACCAGTAGTACTTATATTATTTTAATTAATTGCAGCAAACGAAACACTATTCAGTGTTGTGCAGTGTTCAAATTCCATGTAAACAAACAATGTATTTTACAAGTGTTGTGTACATTGATACAATCTTTCATTTGACACCATGGAAGAGAGGTTGCAGTTGACGTTAAATGTATATAAATTGAATTGTGTTTTGATGTGATCAGGAATTGTCTTGTTCTGAACATGTTGGTATTTGGAAAGAGTTTGGCAAAGGACTCATTGGTAATGGGCGTTACCAAATAGTTTCTATAACCAAACTTTGGATTTGAAAAAGGTGTAATGATCTTTCCGGATGTTTTATAAATGTCCAAGATGAAACAAGTTCATGCCTTCATGAAATCTGGTGTACCCTATCAAAGCAATAGTTTGTTTTGATCGAGGACTACACATGACACCTAGAAATGTCGTATAATAATAATAATAATCTTTATTGAAACCGTATCCCGGAGTGGGATCTTAGTTGAAAATACAATAAAGTAAAACAAAAAGATAGCAAAAAAAAAAAAAAAAAAAAAAGACATTCATAGACAATTGAAAAGAAGAAAAAAAAAAAAATTTAATTATTTGGTGGTTGGTTGATGCATCTGGCATTTTAAGATTTTTTCTTGTCGTAATTTGAAACAAGTGTGGATGAATTTTCCTAGTTCAATGATGTTTTGTCATTTTTACTTTTTAGTATATTTGTAAGTTTTTTGTCATCCGTCCCCAAGTTGCTTATATTGTATTTAATATTGTTGATCATGATTTCTCGTTCCTTCTTGTATAAATTACAATTGAGAAGAGAATGTTTTTCGTTTTCAATTTCCTGTTTGTCACAAACTGGGCAAATTCGGTCCTCCGCTAAAATGTTATTATATCTGCCCCCCGGGGAGACTACTTGCATAGAAGTGCAATACGGTTATGTGCCGCTCGACTGGGGTGTCATTTCACGTTATTTTGTTTAGAGGTGGGTGGTCATTTATCAATGGTTTGGTTTAGAAGTGTGTAGCATTTATTTACTTTTTCACAGGTCCTTATATTCAAAGCCAAATACCGGAAAAGGCTGAATAAAATGCATCGTCAGGATGCGCTCACTGGTTGCAAAAGTTGTGAGCTGGATGTTTGTTTTTTTGCTGAAAACACTTGTGTTTAGAAGTGGTATATAAATAGAAAAAAAATGGTTTAGAAGTGAGTATGGTTTACGAGTGGTGGGCTACACACCCTTACCCACTTAGTGTGGAAGTAGCTCCCCCGGGATCTGCCCCTTTCGATTTGAAGGGTATGAGCACTTATTCTGAGTTTTGTCATAGCTGCTCTATGATTTGGATTTTTGATTGTGGTGAGATATTTTTCATATGCAAATACAGTTTTAATTTTAAGGTTCGTAACTTGTTTTTGTGGTTTTTACCTTTATTGTCATCGTGTAATGTTTCTGTGCCATGTATTTCAAAGGATTGTTCTAGTTTGCGCGTTACTGTTTCAGTGATTTGTTTGTCATCAAGAGATTTATGGTTTTCCCAAATATTTCTCATATTTAAATTTTCTAAAATTTGTTTTATGTCTGTTACCCAGTTGTCTTTTCATTTTTTTATCAAGATGTATGTATGTCATTCATGCGGGGCACACAACTGTCTCAGGAGCCGGCTTCCTAGCATATTTCCTATCGATCGACGTGGGCAAAATACCATGGTAGTTGTTTGCACATAGAGCTAAACGGACCTCACTCTATCTAGAATCACTGATCATAATCACATGGGTGTACTGCGCACAGCCTGTTCGGTCTACGGCCAACCACGGTAACCGTGGGCGTCCGTGGGTGCAACATAACATAGAAATGAGTCATACGTACCAACACGTCATAATATTACATGTTTTCTATCCAAACCCTGCCGCAGAAAACACTAACAACCACGAAAGCATGTGAAGAAAAATCACTTCTACATTATCAAGTGTCAATTAAACAATTGTCATGCGATCAGAACACTGTATTTGTTCGCACTTCTTTCTTGCTTCTTTTCTCCCTTTTTGGTTTGACCTACTTTCAACTTCCGTACATGCGCAAAGGAATCTCCCTGTGACGTCACTGCTCAACTGGATTTCCGTGAACACCTTGCTGGCTTTGAAGTTTAATAGTGAACAAGACCATCAATTATTGACGGTGTAGCCGGTATATTTTGGAATTTATTGTGACAGAAAACAATTTCGACTTTTTAAGTAGACAGATGGTGAGTTGATATTATAATTGGTAAACTATGAACAGCGGTACACAGTTGCCGATAATTTTAAGGCAGTTGAGTTGTTTAAATTTTCACGTTGTTTGGTGACGTACGACCATGGTACTGCATGCCTCTGGGCCTTCCTGTCTGTAAAAACAGCATTGGCTCTTTGCTAAATTCCATAAAGTTATACTTCGCATATGTTGCCTTCGATCTTTTGCCAGTACGAATATATAATACCGTGTAAATTTTGTGTGAAGGCCGAAAATGAAATTGTTTGGTTATGACGTTTGGCGAAGATCATCATG